TCTCACTCTGGTAAAACTTGTGAACTCTTGTGAAGCTGAAGTAAGATCGTCTAGCCACTATCCTAAAACGTGTCAACTCGAGAAACGGCTACCTAGATGGGTCGACACATCTATGGAAAGCAAAATGCCCCCCGTCGACAAACTGCGCCATTCTCAGAGGGTCCTAGTCTTGAAACTCATACATATTTTACTTGGACTAAGCTTTTTGTCCGCAGTTCTTCACAACCCAAACACTAACGCGGAAAGTGCTGCAATGGCAAAATGACCATGTCACGCTGCCCAATTCAGTTCGCACCCGAAGAGCGTCAACGGCGTTTGGCCCTCCTATTCGATTGCCATGGCCGAGATGAAGCGGTTCTTTTTTTCAGGGACAGGAATCCTTGAAGAAAGAATGCCCATCGAAGAAATTACACACCCTTCCATTAGATGTCGCATCTGATGAGAGTGTCGAGTCTGCGAGAAAATATGTTGACGAACAGCTGAAACTAGGACTCGGTAAGTTGCGATAAGTTAGTTGAGTTACTTATTTACCTTATTTACAGTATGCTAAAATAAAGTGTCCGATAGTGTTTTGGGTCTGTAGGGTCCCGGTGGTGGTGATACACAAGCTGCAATCATTCAATGAAATAAGTTTTCCTCGGCGCTGTTCGGCGACGGGGGGGGGCATTTTGCACTTTCGCAGCTTCACTAGTTCCGGTTTACAAGTCTCACTCTGGTGAAACCTGTGAACTCTTGTGTAGCTGGAGCAAGCTCGTCCAGCCACCATGATAAAACCTGTCAACTCTCGTGAGGCTCTCTCGATGGCTCGACACGTCGATGAGAAGTGGCAAAAGTGCAAAATGCCCCCCGTCGCCGAACTGCGCCCTGCTCTATTATATGAACCACTATCTTTATGCTTGGATGTACTCTTTCCATTAGCTCATTTTGAAACCTATTCCCGTTGCAGTACGTTCAGTTGTTTCCGCTGCAGGTGCTGGGGTGTGTCACGGGGCGTGGGTTCCACGCAGCGCTGCTCAGTTCCCCACCCAAATATTACAGCGACAACAATTGGTGGAAACCGAGCTACCACTGCGCTAAACCCAGTCCCTCTGATACGCCCTAGCATCCGCAGCGAAAACGACCTATATCTGTCAATTCACGAAAAATTTTTGTGATAAAGCCTTCACCTACCGTATAGCCAGGGCTGAGGAGAACTTTTACAAGATACGACCCTCCTGAGAGTCCTCGTTCGCAACCCCCTCCCCGCCTTCCCATGCTACCTGTCCTTCTACGTTTTCCCAATTTTCTAACACTTTTTTCCAAATTTCGCAGTTTTTTTTTGCAAGATTCCATCAACAAATCTTCCAGAACTCTGGGGACTAGTCAATAATGCTGGAATCTTCTCGTGTTATGGTCCCGACGACTGGACGAAAGTGTCTGATTATATAAATGCTGCTCAAGTGAATACCTTTGGCGTGATTCGGGTTACACACGTGAGTTCTACGTTGTAATAAAATATTCAGTCGCTACCAGTAGGAACCTGCGGCTGCTACCATGGCAGTCGGTGGGGCAGCCGTCAGGATGCGCGGAGTGGGCCCACCAGCGACGTTTTCTACCACTAGTTGCTCACTTCCTAAACCGGCCATTACTGGTAGAAAACTTAGTCGGGGTGGGCTCATGCCATCCTGGTACCGCCCGGACTGATTGCGACGATACCCACTATCCTACTATATATAAACGGCAACGTCTGTTTGTCTGTTTGTTTGTCTGTCTGTCTGTCCGGAAATTCGGAATCACCTGAAGAGCCAGTTGGAGGGGGCGGGTCAAGGGTGGGTTGGGTAGGGCATGGGCCAAGATGTACGGAACACACATGAACTAAGCTAAGCCCCGCCCACTGTGGGCGGGCGTGCACATTAGTGAGCTACATTTTTTCAAAAATTCGTAGTTCGGGTTCCAAAAGAGCCCCGAGAGCGGAAAAAGTGGCAAACGATAGGCAATCAGTTGGCGGACGAAATCGATGAAGCACACCCCTGATGGGCGGGGCGTTGCCGAAGTGCCGAAGGACAAAAACCCTCAAAACGCACCCGAAAAACCCCACGAAATGGGGAGTAAAGTGAAACTGAGCAATGGTTTGGCAGATGAAGTTAGTGAGGGATAACCGTAGGGAGTATACCAAATGGTTGGTACCGTCGGCAATAGGTTATTCTGCGATTCCTCATCACTAAGGGGAGTGCCGCATAGAAAATTTTGATGACTGTCTTCTAGGGGGGTATATACAAGAAGTGAAACGGTAAAGTGCGGTAATTCTCAAAACAATTTTTTTCGACCATTCGCCCGGCGAAGCCGGCCGATCCGACTGGCCCTCCCTCTCATGGAAAACTTCTCACCGGGACCCACTTCACACGCGGAAGGAGTCGACTGGTGTACTATATTGTAATGCCGTTAGGTACGTTTAGTGGGATTGAAGGGGCCCACACCCACCCTATATGAAATTTTTGGCAGCTCGAAAGGTTCAAAGGGTCCAGGAGAACAGCATGCGAGTTCTTTAGGCATTCAAGAAGTACATAAAGCAGTCAGTTGGACGAATTGTCACGGTTACATCCGTAAATGGACGATTGTCGACGCCAACCGGTGGCCCATACGTCGTGAGCAAGTATGGCGCTGAAGCCTACATGGACGCTATTAGGTTCGTTTTCAAGAATCTCTTGATGGAAAACTTTGTTTCTAGCTATTGGCATCTCGTTCACCATAACGTGATATCATTACCCACTGATCTCTGCTTCGAGTCGAGGGGGAATTTCCTTCAGATTGTTGATTTTTTCCCGTTTCATGCACGCTGTATGCATCCCTGGTCGCCGCTGACGCAAAACTACCACATTTGGTAGTTGGTGAAAGTCTCACTGCATCCCTCCCCTCTCCCCGCTCAACGGAATTCTTCCGGGAAAGCTTGGTAAGTTGTGGAAGGGGGGTCGAACCCAGCAAGATTTCTCACCAACGTCAGAACGTGCCCTGGGGCTTGGGACCTAGATAGGAACTGGTGGCGCCTTGACAGTTCGCGCGTTCTCTTCAATGCTCCCTTCGATGTTAGGGGCAAGCGCTCTGCGGCCGCACGCGGCACTTATGGCGCAAGCAGTTTCTAGGAAGGCTGGAACGTCTTTTTCGTGCTTTATGTTTGGGTCTCCCTCCATTCAAACATTTTCAGACAAGAACTTCACGTCAACGGCGTAAAGGTGAGCATACTGGAGCCGGGCGTGTTTCGAACGCCGCTTCTCGATGAACAAGCAATGGTGAATAGAATTGAAAGTGTGAGTAATTCGTAAGCTCCAATATTTTTTCGAAATATTTTACACATTTTTGCAATCCACTAGTTTTCATGGTCTCTTCAAGGAAGCCGATGATTAGAATCCCTTTGCAAAAAAATGTGGCGCTGTCCGGCTCGGAAGGGGCAGTCTGCGGGCCGCTTTGGCCATCATAATTTTCACAATTTACAGGTTTTCACAAGGTGCCCGTGAAGATTAGCTTAGTACCATTCGGTGCCCCACCAAGCCAAATTGCGCCAAGAATTCCCCACAAGTTACCCCGAGAACGACTCTAAAGCTCTCAAACTATCATAAAGACTATAATCTCAGCAACCACTTACTTTTAGGTATGGTCAAAACTGGACGATGAAACCAAAGAAGAATACGGAGAATATTACAAGACTTATTGTAAGTATTGTTATCCCATCTTACCATGTTTCTGAGGTTGCTAACAGAATGCTATTGATTATGCTTTGAGTAGTTCTTGGAAGAGAAACCACGCCTACGATCTCAGGGGCGCGGCTTCTCTTCGGAGCCTA